ATAAATGCAATAGAACTATATCTGTACTGTCTCGTGGAGTTCTTTGGGCTGAACCTGACAATTATGTAGCCCATAATAAATTCTCTGTTCACTTTTTGTCTCAGCCCTACAAAGGTAGGGGAAAGGACTTTTTTCCTTAAACACTGACATGCCTTCTTGTAAGAGTCGCCTTACCAAAGCTGGGGTGTTTGGGTTAGCCTATAAATGGAGAATGCAAATCCCTGCTCAGCCATTATGTGTAGACTGGTCATCGTTCAGCCTCACCTTTCTCTCAGCCCTGAAGAGTTGCTGGGGGGAGGGAGAAGGACACTTGCACCCTCCTCACTGCCCTGATCTCCTTGGAGGAAGGAAGGGAGGTAATAACATAAATATACTCAAAGAAACAAAAGATTCTCCCAGATGGTACCACAGAGGCATGAGGTCTAACCTTAGTGAAGTGCAACATTTTGTCACTGCATATTATCCTGATCAGCAACTAATGTTTAAATGTGGGCCATCTTTTGCAACGCACTTGGGCTGTAACCACCTGCCAATCTGCTCACTCCCAGGCTCTCATTATCTCCCCTACTGCGACAGCAAAGGAGGCTTTGGCAGAGCTCTTTCTTTTCAGCAGGGCCATCTGCTCACCAACATGGCTTATGAAGGGGAGGGAGTTGCTTGGAGGGCAGAAGTGGAAGACTCCTAGACTGATGTTGCCAAATGAACCCTTCCTATGTCATGCCCTGCTGACCCTGAGGGTGCACACACTGGAGGGCACTTCTGGAATACTGCTGAGGGCTGATTCAGCTTCTGGTTGCCTATCTCTAGCAGGCTGGAAAAAAGTGGCTCTCAGATGGCTAGGAATCGGGCAAGCCAGCATTACTGAAATATTACAGCTTTCTGCCCCCCTGAACATCTGAACGTCTCTAGACGCTAACCTGGTGCCTCGACCATTGGCCACCGTCATGGACAGCTCTTCCTCTGTCAGGTCAGGTTCCCCATCTGTATCATCCAGGCTGGAACTGGGCAAGTCAAACTGGGCAAGGAAAACAAGAGTGTTGCTGGCATGGGCTGAGATCACGGGAGGCAAGACGGGGTAGGAACAGATCATAAGCCGCTAACAAGCCCAAGGGCTGCCCAACCGGGCCCCGAATCCACCCAGTGGGACCACCTCCGCTCCACCCCTGCCCCCACGTAGCATGCACAGCAGCCCCAGTGGCACCTCACCTCCTCCTGGCCAGGACTCTCTGCGTGTTTCAGGATCTGCTGCCGCTTGTACTTGCGCAGCAACTCTAGTTCCAGGGCTTTGACAGACGCAGCATCCTTCCGGCTGCCTTTCTTGCCCGGCTCCTTGGGACTCTGGTCTCCCTTTTTGGCAGCTGCTGCACCAGGCTGGGTGACTCTCTGCAGGCCGAATGGGCTGCCAGTCTTCCCGATGTTCTGCTGGAATATATCCTAGAGGAGTAAGAGCACAAACACCCCCAAGGAGGCATCACCAACCCCTAATTTGGACTGGATGCCACCAACCCTGCTGGGTTCCCACCACAGAAGCGCAGCTGCAATTCTCCTGGGGGGCTGCGGGGAGGGGGGGCAAGGCTTGCTGAGATAGGCTCCAGCTCCTCCCCAGACACAATGTGTCTCAAGAAATACTGCCAACAGATAAAGATCAACTGATCAACTCAGATGGAAAGGGCTCCCTGAGATCAAAAGCAGGAAGTGAAAAAGGGGGTTCTTAAGATAGGTTGCTTGAGCTTTTCTAAAAGGAACCTGCAACTTTATGGACCTAAAACTAAATGCTCAGAGTATCGCCTATGCAAGCTCAGAATTTGCCAAAACATATTACTAGACTCTTAGCAGATTCCTCTGGATAGAATTCCTTGTCATTTAGGGTGAGTAGGGTAGCCGTTAGAAAAAAACAAAGGCTGCAGATGTCTGGTGCCCCTTTGGGACAGAGAGAGCAAACTGGCAAGCCCTGAGACACATTGAGGAGGGGCCAGAATATTTACTCTACGGTGTGGTATAAACAGCCAGGCTGCAGTCTCTGCCATGGCTGCTCTGAGCACACCGGGGACTAAACCGGTAAACCTTGGGACTTCTGTGCCTGGGGATGACGTGAGGTGCCACTATTTCCTGCAGGTCACTTAATATGCAGATCAGCAAACCCTGAACTAAGCATTTTCCACCTTATGTCCTTGGCTGCTGTTCCTTTGCAGTTTGGGAATGGCTTTGTCCGAAGGGATTCCCGCCTGCCAGGAGGCTGGCATTAGAGTCACTCGTAGGAGGGTACAACTGTCGATTTCAAGGGGCAAAATGGGACTAGCAAACAGCCTGCAGAGCTTCTTCGCAAACCCTCAACCTTGCGGTTTCAAACAACAGAGCCACACAAGTAAATCTTCTGGGTAGAAAACCAGTGGTTTTAAGCAGCAGAGTTGCAGGATACAATATTCTTGGCCGGTCTTCTTTTACACAAGACACTAATCTATCCACAAAATCCAGACCAGGATCTGTCTGGGTTTGGTTGCAAAATGTGCACCAGATACGTTTCGGCACTCTGCTTCCCACAGAGGTGCATTCAACAGAAGAGTAGGGAAACTACCAGGCCTCTCGATACTCACTTCCACAAGTCGGATCTCCTTGGCCAGGTCTTTGATGAGTTGTGCTGGACGTACCGTCCCAGGAATTTCTTCTTCATGCTCAGCCAAGGCCTGGGAAGAATAATATCTAGTCTACCCTTCTCTGCTAGATTGAAACACCACTGAAGAGCACAATGGCTTTCCCCAGTCTGCTGCCTCCGGATAGGTTGAATCACAACTCTCAGAATTCCCGGCTGGATGACTGAGCTCATCAGCCTGTGACAGAGCCACCCTGGACTGCTCCTAGGACAGAAAGCTTTTGCGTGCAAACAGTAATTCCCTGCACGTAGAAAGCTAGCATGTTGTAGATTTCTCCCCACTACATCAGTCTTCTATTTCTAGGGAGGTCTTATTCTCCTTTTGATTGCTGACTGGAGTGTTGGAAACCCTCTGGGCCCTGATTGTTACCCAGCCCAAATACTCTAATCAGTTCTTCTTTCAATCATTTACCTCCTTTTTAGTCCAGGAGCGGAAGGCTGTATTGAGGGCTTTGGCCCCATGAACCAAATAAGCAGCTGGGTGCCTACGGTTCTCTCGAAGGCCTACCAGGAGAAAGAGCAAGAGAACATCAGTGATGGCCACTCTCAGGAGCCACAGGGAGAAGGGAGGATACTAGAAACAGGCAGACTCAAAACCCACCTCGGAAGATATCCAGGAGGTGTTTGCCGACGTACCAGCAGATAGTTTCAAAGTTGGGGAATTTGAAGAGATCAGCTGTGCTGAGGCGCTTTTCAATCTCATAAGCTCTGAGAAGGGAGGAAGGGAGGGAGGGAGGAAGGGCTGGATGTAACATCTTGCATAAAGAGGACATCACTTCTGTAACCAATGCTAATTTGCAAGACTCCTCTCTTCAGATCGTTTGGTCAGCAGCTGCTAATCATGGGAAACCATAAGAAACTATCCAGGCACTAAACACCCATTCCTCTGACCTACTTCTGGGTTTTTCTCAGCACTGCATCAGGCAACTAAGATTTCATCAGGCATTCTCTAAGGGCTAGAAACACGAGCATTTAAAAAAAAAAAAACCAATTCGGACACTTAATTCTTCACCCTATATCAGGTTTGGTAGGTCTCTGTGCCCCCTCAGAAGCTATGTTCTGGTTCCATGCTTCCAAGTGTTTCTATTCCCACATCCAGGATCTTTTCAAAAAATGACCCTATGCCAGGCCAAATTGTAGCCTTCTCTGGTTCAGTATCATCCACATTAATAGGTGCAACTCTCCAAGGGGGTTTTCAGAAAGGGATCTTTCCCAACCATAACTTGGGGAAGTCAGAAAATGAACCTGGGACCTCCATCCTCCACTCCTGAGTTTTGGCTTTTCCCTCGGTAGTTCCCCAGATGCTGCATGGTGGCCAACCCCTCCCAGCCAAGCTTACTTGAGCTGCATCTCAATGTTCAGACTGTGTAGAAAATTGCCCCCAAAGGCCAGGCAGTCCACAGGGGTCAGAACAGCATGGATCCACCCTGGAAGAACAAGAGATGGGAAGGAAGTCACAGCAGCTTGGGATTAGCTTCTCAAGAGCGTTTACTGGCTGGGAAAGAGGGGGAAACAGTGACTTCCGGCCTGAAATGCCAAAGGGGAAAAAGGGCTTAAGGGATTTGGTATTCTACATGCCCCAGCTATTGTCTCCCAAGGATTCTACCCGTCCAGTAACGTTGGGCAGAGTCAGGGCAGTTTGGGTCCCCTCAATCAAATGATACCATCCAATGCCAACCAGGGAGCAGGGCTTCTCTGTCATGGGCCTGCCCCCTGGAACGGTATCCCTCCAGAGATCCATGTCTCTCCCTCCCAGGCCTTGCGGTAGGGTGCTTGTGGAGCCCAGCAGATGATGCTTTTGTTAGAGGGAGTGGGCTTGTGCAGACACACAGGGTTTTCCTCCTGTTTTTTCCCATTTTCTTTATTCTTTTTCCTTGATGTAAGCCACCCAGAGTAATTTTGGGGTCAGGCAGCCTCTAAATCTCAGAAATAAACAAACAAACAAACAAACAAACAAACGTTACATACAAATAGCCCTTTCCCAAAGTGATCTACCAATGATCAGACAAAATGGAAGCCACAGGAAAAGAAGCAGTGCCCCAGAAAAGAGAAAATCAAACACCCAAGAAGTACAGTAGGAGGAATGAAGACAGCTGGGAACGAAATATGGTCAACCTGGCTCTCAGGGGTCCTTACCTGTCGGTATGAAGAGGGTCTGGCCCTGGCGGACAGGACAGCGATAGCACCTATCCACCTGGTCTCCAAAGAACATTTCATTCTGATTGGAGGAGCTGCTCCACGCCTCAAAGAGCGTCAGATTGGCCGCAGTGGGACGCACCAGGTAGAAGATCTTCTCTCCCTGTGGGGAATGACACAGAGCAAACTGCCACACACAGCCTCCTCCCTCTTTTCCCAAAACGATAAGAGCTGAGAGAACAAGGCACATGTAAGTATGGGAAAGACCGATGCATTAAAGCAGAGAGACACTGGGCGCTTTGGCAGAAAGCACCAATCTTTACGTGGGGGCACGTAACATGGACAGTTAGGCAACAAGGCTGTTCTAAGGCCAGGAGAAATGCTGCTAGCCTCACATTTCAGAGGCATCGTTTGAAGAGTAGCAGAATTACAAAAGTGCCAGTGAGGCACCGGCCACCTTCCTTGCCTGAGGCGGCTTGTGTTGCCCTGCAGATAATCTTACCCGATACCTTACCAAGCTTTCCTTGACAAGATTCCATTTTTTATGAATGTTGGTGCTGCTTTTTTCTTCTTCTTTACATGTTAACTTATTTTCAGGGCCGTGTTCTTTATACATGAAGGAAATCAAAGACCACGCTGCATGCCAAAGTAACAGAAGGTCTGGGCCAAGAACAGCTGAGTTCTAAAGAAGAGCTGTGCTAAATAAGAACATTTGCATAACTTCCTCTATTCTGAACAGGTTATAATGAGGGACACGAAGATACACCGTGCGCTGAAGTTCAGCTTTCTAGCTTTGCTTTGCTTCTGGCTACAGTTGCTTCAGGCAGGAGTCACTCACACACTTTCCAGTCAAATTTCCCAAGCCATAAGGACTAGCTTGCAAATGACAGGAGAGGCTTTCCAGAAGCTGGATTCTGCACTTATCATCCAAATGTATCTTTTCATGGCATAAACACATTTTATGTAAATCAACATTTCATGGCCTGTTCCAAATAGAGTCCAAAAATAACTCCTCCACTGCTTTCTGATATCCTTTATAGCACCCTTCCTCGGACTACGCTCTCCAAATGTGCTGGATTTCAGCCACCATCATCCCCAGAAACCTTTCTTAAAACATGCTGACTCCTGGCGATCGCCTGGACAAGTCCCTGCAGTTTTCTTGGCAAGGTTTTTCAGAAGCGGTTTGCCCTTGCCTCCTTCCCAGGGCTGAGAGAGTGTCTGGCCCAAGGTCCCCCAGCTGGCTTTGTGCCTAAGGCAGGACCGGAACTCACAGCCTTCCAGTTTCTAGCCTTGAAACCAACTGGGCTCTCTTCTTAAAACATGAGAAATCCGTAAATTGAAACGATAACATTCCTTCTTCGGTGGATTCAGTATATTTTCTTCATACTGACACCCCCAAACAATTCCTCTGAACTCTCTGACAAGAAGCCTTGTCAGAAACCAATGGCAGAAAATCATACTGGCTGTAAGAAAGGCAGCTGCACCCCAACAATCTGGGACTCCTGCGGCAAGAATGAGTGCCGTGTTGCCTAGTTCTCACTTGCCCTGGGGAAATTCACTAACTGATCTGACTGGACTATACCACGTCAGGGTGTAACTTTGCATCTTATTTTATTTTTATTCTACTACTCCAACTGCTCTTGCTTTTCTCCTTTTGTTACATGAGAAAACCTTGAAAAAGAAGATGCAGTGAGGGGGATCATTCAAACATTCAGCATCACCAAGGCACTCTGCCAATTCTGGAGCTTAGCGTAAGATCCTCCTTCTATCCCATGCCCCAGATTCTTACCCGCAGGACGTGGTACCAGACAGAGGTGCCCCCAAAGTCAATGTGGAAGTCCGTATAGCTGTCCCGCACCCCCATCAGGCAGTACTTTTGCACGCTGGGACGCTCAAAGACCGACTCCCCTGGCCACAGGTTCTCCACCCAGGACAACTTGCGCACAATCTTTGGGGTCTCCACCAAATTAGACAGCCTGAAAAATTGCAAAGGCAGATAAACAACCTTATCCCATTCCAAAAAGACCCCTGAGAGAGCTTTCAGGTGGCTGGTGGAGAAGCTACTATATTTAGGCCCGTGGTCCCCCCTTGTTGCATCTAGGAAAATAGGGCAGGGAGAAACATCTCCATCTAAAAACAATGTCCATTTGTGAGAAAGGGCATAACTACAACTCAGTGTCTTCCAAGTAGGTTATAAGTGAAGCTCTCAGAATGGTCAGCCAGCGCTGGCCTTCACCCCCCATCTGGGGGTGGGACAAAGTGGAGAACTTCTCCGTAGCCCCTTCAGGCCAAATAAAACCATTCTGGAGGGAGATAATACGCCCTGATGCCAAAATGTGGGATCTTGTAGACACAGGTTCTCCAACATGGATGGGGACGGAGTGCAGAACAAAAATAACTAGATCGTCTTTGCACTCTTCCTGCAACTTCCCTGTACTTTTTACCTGGTCTCTGAAAATTCCAGACTGATGACATTGAGCACTTTCTCTCTGCGGCTGCTGGAGTAGTAGCTGACAAAGTCACCCAGACGCATCTTGAGGTCAGCTTGGCGTGTCACATCAATGACATCAATCTCCTTGTCAGTGCCTGTTAAAAAAGAGATATGCCCCATGCTGAGCAAGTCAGCCGGAAGGAAGCAGCAGCAGCAGCTGTTATGGCAGGCCGCACTACAGCCGTATTTCCCCGAGTTACACCTCTGAAGTACATTATGGGGCACCAAGCACCCTCGTCAGAAGCTCAGTAGTGCAAGCATCTCCCTCTAGTGGTCCACTTTCCTCCAGCACCTTGGTCAGCAACAACTGCTACTTATGGCCAAGGGCCAGAATGCCATTTTGTCAAAGGCTGATGGACCCCTCTCCCCTCCTTATTACACACATACCCACTCTTACTTTCAGAATTCAGCCAGGGACTTTCACTTTCCAAACCCTTTATAATACAAATCCTCTGCAGCTAAATTATAACATGGAATGCAACAGTGACTGCCTGTCGGCAGGCCACTCTCAGGGAGAGCCAGCCTACAAAGACCCCCGCAGGAGCTGCATTCACTCTGAACAACAGCACTTCAGCTTGCAACATGAGAACGGTGGCATGTCACATAGAAGAATATGCTACACTCTGTGTCTCCTTTAGAGTAGGCCAGGCAAGCTGATGTCGTCTAGATTTTCTGAACTACAGCTCTCATAATTGCTTGCCCTTTGCTGGAGCTGATGGGAGTTGGAGTCCAAAGCGTCTGGAGGGCACTAGATTGTCTTAATCTGCCATAAGCCATGCCACGTTTGAGGAGTCGCTGAGCAAAAATGAAGCCTTATACACTTTTTGACGTCCTGCATAAAATAAGAAAGCTCAAGGAATGTTCCCAACAATTTTGGGGAACTGCACGCTCCAGAGGAAGATCAATAATGGTAAGCGAACTGACTTGTGGAGAAAGCCCAGAAGTACTGCGTTTTGTTTGGTTTTGGCTTAGCAGCTGTGTGAACCCAGGCCCTGTAGCTTATTCAACAAACTATCATTAGAACAAACCATGGCTCAGTACAATGCTTGAACCAAGCCACTGAGGGATTGTAAAAAAATTCTGCAGAGATTCAAGGGGCCCTTAACCTACAGCTACACAACCGCTGCCATTGGTTGAAAGTCTCTTGTTCATCTCTATGAAAGAGAGAAAAATGAACAGTAGTTAGCAACTAGCTGGACAGGGCAAGGGTAACCAGCATCTGCTTTCTCTGAGCAAAGTGTCGGTAATCAATCGGATAAAAGACCAGCATCTCTCCGAGAGAAGGGTCCATATAACATTTTCTCAGGCCTGGATTTCACTGAGCCCATGATCACAACTTGGAGCTAGATTGGGGAACTTATGGCTGTCCAGATGTTGTTGAAATAGAACTTCTAGCATCCGTATCATTGTCCATGCTGATTAGCTGGGAATTAAACTTCAGCACCAACTCAGTAGCTATAAGTACCACGTGCCTGAATTTGAGGACTACTGTTAGTCAACAGTAGCCGAAAAACAAAACATGTAAAAAAACTTATTTCATTCCTGTGCTGACATTCTGACCCTGTTATTTGGAAATAATTGTCTTTTTTGCTCGGTAAACACTGTGAGCACAAATTCCTGTGGAAAAGTGAGGTACAGAAGTTATAAATAATAAGTTCTTAGCTCAGTTTAATAACTCATAAGACGAAAGAAACATTCATATCCTTGTCAATCTTTCCAAGACCTCTGCACTCATCAGTGAGAATAGCGAAAGGCGGGAACAGATTTCCTTCTAGTGGACAAGTAAAGGATAGCCTGACCTTTCTACATCTACAGATACAAATCTTTATATCTGCAGATAATAGAAAGAAAAATGAAAAGGAATGAGAGGTGAACATTTGAGGGCGACCCTGGAATATCTCCAGTGGGATGCACTGAATTTGTTACACTGCACCTGATCACTGGATCTTAAGAAGGATATTATAGAGTTAGAAAAAGAGCAGAAAAAAGGCAACCCCAATAATTAGGGGAATGGAATAACCCCCCCCCCAAAGATCACAGAAATTAAGTCTCTCTAACTTGAAATGAAGGAGGGTAAATGGATACTATATAGCAGTACAAAAAATCTTGCACAGCACAAGTATCATGGACATATTTTTCCTGCCTCTCTCTCTAGAATATCCCCCAAAAGACTAAGGGAAGGAAAAATGTTTTTTACACAGCATTAGTTAAACTTGAGATTCACCTGTCAGCAGATGTAGGTATTGCAGCCAGTTTGGATTGCTCTGAAAGGGGACTGGACAAATTTAGGATCAGTGGCAATGAATACTGATGGCTGCCTCCTGAATCCTAGTCACCATGCCTTAAATACTGATTGCTGAGATATGACTGTAGAAGGGGCTACTGCCCTCCAGTCTGGGCTTGTGACCTTCCCAAATGCATTTGCCACTCTGCAACAGATAATGCTGGACTAGAGAGGTATCTGGCCTGATCCAGCAGGACTCTGCACAGCCACAATAACAGATGTGCTTGCAAACCCAACGGTATGACTGCAAGAAATTGTGGCTCAGTCAAAACTACAGTTCTCGCCCCTCCTTAAGCTTTACTTTTTCTGCAAACTGAAGAGTCTTTGCTGAGATGCGGTGAGAGAAGATGACTGAGAAGAACTATCTAAGCAGCCTGAGATGAAAGACAGAATGACTTTCCTCCTTATTTGTTTCATCAATCTCGTGAATGACTAATACTAATGCCAGATAATACTTCTCTTTATATAAAACAAAAAATAACGAAAAATACTCACATCGCTTTAGCAAGGAATGACCTTTAGCTTTCTCTGTAGCCTGTGGCACTAGCTACAGTCTACAAAGCAGTAGGAGGCAGATATTTTGGATTTCAGCTCCCTCCAACCTAGCTAGTGGGAAAAAAACTATGGGAACTGGCCTCCAAAGCATGTAGAGAGCCTCAAATTGCTGGCCCTTGCAATAGAGATCTCTCTCTGATCACCATGGCAGCTTGCCAGCCATCCCACTCTCCTCGTACTCACCAACATAATGCTCCACATCGTGCACACTGAATGATGGTGGAGGAAGGGTCATGCCCAGGCCATCCTTCTTCAGGACCAGGAGGGGCACACTGAAGCTGTTCTCCTCCAGGAACTCCACAGTCAGCTGTGTTCCACTCGGCTTTAGGATCACCTCATCCGCACTGAGGAGGAGGAGGGAGAGTCAAACCAAGACCACGCATTGATGTTCTCTATATGAGACTTTCCCAATTTGGTACCCTCCAGATGCATTAAAACTACAGTTCCCAGAATGCCCCAACCAAAATGGCCTAAGCTGAAGGAAAGAACCAAAGCAATATGGAGGGTACAGTATTGGGGAAGGCTGTCCTCTGCCATGGCTTTGCATAATATGCACATACTCTGTATGTTACACTTGTAAACTTGATAGACTTTGGTTGCCTTGTAATTCATGACTGCTGCAAAGCATATGGTTTCACTGTATTTTTATTTTGTTTAGTTGCTTTTTTATGTCTAATTTCCTACTGCTCTAAGTTCCAATGCAGTTATAAATAAAAGCATTTATTTTTATTTAAAACATTTTTAAACCATGGTTCATTATTTGAGATCTTGGAGCAGCATACAGTACACATTAGAACATTCAGCATCCTTTAAAAACTGACTTGCTTTTTATTTAAATCATGGAGGGAGAAATAGAATTATTTTTATTTCTTTTCCTTCAGCAGCTGCTTGGCTATCTCTTTGGAGACTCTCCATGCAGCTGCTTGCAAGGTGGGGCAGAAGGGTGAGCAGCTGCAAAGAGTCTCCCCATAGAGACAGCTATTCTGGTGCTGGAGGAAACAATGACAATAAATAGCAGAGCAATTCAGATAGCAAAGAAGGGGATTTTACCAAAAAGCAGCCTGTTTTCCAGACTCTCAAAATGGGCCATGAACCAAACCTACTGTTTAAATGTTTTTCCCTCAAATTAACAGAATGCCACTCCTTAACCTTTTTCAACACATACCTTAATTATAAAGAAGAAGCAAGAAGGCTTGAAAAAAAAATGCACTGGAGAAATAGAAGTGTTTAATTGCTTAATCAAAGTAAAAGCAGTCTTGACATTATAGCTGAGCAAGTTTATTAATTCCACCCTGCCAATTGTTGCTATCCTAGAGAACACAGATCAGTAAATCTTGGCAAGGCATTTCAGAAGTTGTGGAACTACAGCTCCCAGCATCCTCCTAAAGGAAGGATAATAGTGAAGGCTGCTGGGAGTTCTAGTTCATTAAATATGTGGAGTAACACCAATTGCCCATTCCTGATCAGGACAGATGAATTCTTTTTGAACCAGTTTTACAATAAAATTATCCTGATGTCCTGAAACAAAGGCTTCACTTTAGCTAGAAATCAACCAGTCACCAATAGAGGTGAATACGTGTAGCTCAGGGTTGAACTGTGGAGTCCTTGGGATTCTCTGAGCTTGGTTCTTTTCTTGCAAACCTTTCATTACCCGGCTAAGTAACATCTTCGGTGCAGCACTGAAGATGTTACCTAGCCGGGTAATGAAAGGTTTGCAAGAAAAGAACCAAGCTCAGAGAATCCCAAGGACTCCACAGTTCAACCCTGAGCTACACGTATTCACCTCTATTGGTGACTGGTTGATTTCTAGCT